TATATTTTGATTTGTTTACCCCGGACGACGTCGGGTGCTCTGCTTGTTATCAATATAAAAATTCATTACTTTAAAACAAATCAAAGGTATTACGTATGTATGCACAGCTGTGCTCACGAAAATAGTAGTAAAATGTATTAACAGGTTTGGAAATTTTTATCTTTCCTTACTTAATTTAATTTTTTTATAAAAATATAATTAATTCTATAACAAAAGACAAGTGAGTTGAAGTCTCACACTTTATAGAAAATTTAAAAAATTGAGAAAATTAAAAAAAAATTTTTAGCCCATTCAGTTTCAGTAGAAGAAGAGCTCGAGTCAGAATCTGTTTGCATATTTTAAGCTACAAATTTAAAACATATTTAGTTGGTGTGCTTATTAAATACAACATTCACATTCAAAGCTACATATCCAAGAGTCGGTAGTTTGCACCTTTTCCAAATTCTTATAACTTACATTGCACCGTAGCAGTAGTCGTCTTAAGTTTGACATACTGACAGCTGATTTCTCAGTGGATGTTTAGTTATAATCAAAACATTATCTCTTATTGTCATCTTCTCAGTGTACTTAATATATGATTAACTCAGCACTACCTTTCATAAGATTTGTTAATGGCGAAACCAGGTTTTCCTGTAAATCCTGTAAAACCTGCAAATCGTGAAGTTGGGTTGGGTTGAATCAAAACAGTTTGTTATTTTGCGAAATCCTAGGAAACGAAACAATTGCAAGCTGACACCTTTTTAATAATGATTTCAATCCACTCACACGTATGAGCTGTCAAAAACCATTGTTTTGAACATGTAAACCTCAAGCAAATGTCAATTACACCAATTTACAAAAGTATTTATTAAATGTAAAAATCAGTACAAAATCAGTATAAATTCAAAAAATCAGTAGTAGTACTAATTTCGGGCTCTTAAAAATCAGTATAATAGAAAAAAATCACCACATGTTCAAATTATTCATATTGAATATTTATTATATACTATATATTCAGTATCAAAAGTTAGTACAGAGCTTGTTCTAATATAATATTCACAATTATTTTCATGGAAAATGTTTTTCATTAATCATTTAAGAAAATATACTTCATACTGTAATATAAAACATATAAATCAAAGATTCACACTTTATATAAAGTTCACAAAAATTTAACAAATTTTCATACAAATTTTCAAATTTTTATTCAGAATCTCTAGAAATATTTCGAGGATGCAGTTTTGTAGCCCAATCAATTTTAGTACAACGAAGTGCAAGTTTTAAGTCGCTAAAAGCTGCCGTTGATTGTTTAGAATATTTTTTGTGGAGGGTGTTGCGGGTTTCTTCCATATAAAACAAATTGTGTTTATTCATTATATGGAGGCAAATGCAACAAACAAATTTTAAAGAATCAACGGTAACTTTAACCGACCTGAAATTTGCACTTGGTTGTACTAAAATTGATTGGGCTAAAAAACTGCATACTTGAAAGATTTCTAGAGATTCTGAATAAAAATTTGCAAATTTTGATGACAATTTGTTGAATTTTTGTGAACTTTATATAAAGTGTGAATCTTTGATTTATATGATTTATATTATAGAATGAACCATGTTTTCATAAATGATTAATGAAAAAAATTTTCCATAAAAATAATTGCGAATATTATTTTAGAACAAAGTGTATACTACCTTTTGATACTGACCGTAAGTACATACAGTGACCCATACAGATGTTCAGGTGTTGCCTTTTCTAAATATTCACAATGCTTTTGAAGTTAAACCTTTTTTGCTCTTCTATACGAATATTTACTGAGTTTTAACCAAAACCACATAAATCAAAGTTTACAATTTTATAAACAATTCTTTGGTATGCGGGTTTTTAGACCATGATATTTTAGTCCGATGAAGTGCAAGTTTCAAGCGTCTAAAAAATCGCGTTGGTTTTTAATACTTTTCTTTTGCTGAGGGATTTTTGCACTGTTTTTGCATATAAATATGAATTTCTTATGAAATAAAAAGAACAAGACCGTTCGCAACAAAATTTCAATACATTAACGTCAGTTATATAAGTTGCTCTTAATATATAAAAAAAAACCCACAAAATCCGTCAGAAAAAGAAATATTAAAAATCAACGCTATTTTTAAGACGCTTGAAACTTGTACATACTTGAATTAACACATTAGACGCATATGTCTATGTATCATTAAAAATATAATTAATTTTATAATTTTACATGAAATTAAAATGATTCTTATTGAATATTTACATATGTATATGCACACATTTTTTCATGGTTGTATCACTTACTTGAATTAATACATTAGATACTTTAAGAACGCATATAATGTATCATTAAAAATGAAATTAATTTTGTAATTTTACTTAAATTTAAATGATTCTTATGGAATATTTTTGTATATGTATGTACATATCTTTTCATGCGTTATATTACATACTTGAATTAATACATTACTTGCAAATGCATAAAATATATGTTTTCGTTTAACTTTTGCTACACATCTTTTATGGTATCAATGGTAATGCACAGGGTTATGTATCAAGCGACACATTACTTTCCTAGGACAT